AGTACTATAAGGAATCTTGGTTTTTGCCTGAAGAAGAGGCCAATAGTAGATTGAGACCCAGAGACAAGGAAGAACCTAATACTGTCTTGAAGCCCAGGACCCAGAAAGTTGTTAATAACAGTGACAGGGTCAAACAAGAACCCAGGTTTGAGGAGGAAGTCATTATTGGGTCCTGGTTCTGGGCAGAAAAAGAGGCCAGTATGGAGGCTGGAGCTTCAGCCATCTGTGAATCTGAGGCAGGGGCTGAGGAGGGGGCCATTGGTGGATCGTTGTTCTGGACTGAGGAAAAGTCCAGTTTGGGAGCTGTGGCCAGAGAAGAGACCAGACCAGAGTCTGAAGAAGAGGCCATATTTGGGTCCTGGTTCTGGGACAGGGATGAGGCCTGCTTTGACTTAAATCCTCGTCCTGTGTACAAGGCTAGTCCCAGGTTCAGAGATGCAGCCGAGGAGGAAGTTGATGTATCATCCAGGCCCAAAACCTGGGAAGAGGTCACTGTCGAATTCAAACCTGGTCCTTGTCATGGGGTTGGCTTCCCATCCCCAAGCCCCTTTAGAATTCCTGAAGAAGCAACAACATCTGTATACACCGAACTGTTTGAGGGAAAGCCCAAGAATGTGGAAGTTACCCCAGAAGGGGAAGAGCAGGAATCTTTGCTTCAGTCTGATCAGCCTGATTCTGAGTTCCCATTTCAATATGATCCATCCTACCGGTCAGTCAGGGAAATTCGGGAGCATCTTAGGGCCAAGGAGAGTGCACAGCCTGAGAGTTGGTCCTGCAGCTGCATACAGTGTGAGCTTAAAATTGGTCCTGAAGAGTTTGAAGAACTCCTCCTATTAATGGACAAAATTCGAGATCCTTTTATTCATGAAATATCTAAGATTGCAATGGGTATGAGAACTGCTTCTCAATTTACTCGTGATTTCATTCGCGATTCAGGTGTTGTCTCACTTATTGAAACCTTACTCAATTATCCCTCCTCCCGAGTTAGGACAAGTTTTCTGGAAAATATGATTCACATGGCTCCCCCTTACCCAAATCTGAACATGATTGAGACATTTGTGTGTCAAGTGTGTGAGGAAACCCTTGCTCATAGCGTGGGTTCCCCTGAGCAGGTGCTTGGGTTAAGGATGCTTAGACACCTCACCTCAACTACTGACTATCACACACTGGTTTCCAATTATATGTCTGGATTTCTTTCCTTAGTAACCACAGGCAATGCAAGAACAAAGTTTCACGTTCTGAAAATGCTATTGAATTTGTCTGAAAATCCCATGGTGGCAAAAAAACTGTTCAGTGCCAAGGCTCTATCAATATTTGTGGGTCTCTTTAACATAGAAGAGACAAATGATAACATTCAAATTGTTATTAAAATGTTTCAGAATATCAGTAATATTATAAAAAATGGAACAATGGCCTTAATTGATGATGATTTCAGTCTTGAGCCACTTATTTCTGCATTCCATGAATTTGAGAAGTTAGCTGAGGAACTGCAAGTCCAAATAAACAATCAAAGTGATCCTGAGGTGGGACAGCAAAGCTAATGTGATTATCCACCTGCCTCTGATCAGCCTTATGTTCCCAAAGAACCCTGAGTAGTGCTTTGGTTTTCAGTCTGGTTTTATATTGTAACTTATATTTTAATGCTGATGTTAACTATGTCCAATTCTTTGAGCTGGATCATTTTGTGGATGCCAAATGATAATTAGTGCTGAAAAAATTTGTTGATATTTGTCTTGCTGTCCAGATTGCTGTATTTTTCAGTATTGAGCTGCTAGTGAACTGAGCCGCCTGTGTGAGTTACCCTTCTATTCATTGTTTAAACATATTGTTCTCTATTCGAGTCAGTGTTTTAAATAAAGTTCTGTGTGAAAAGTGGCAGAAGTGACCTTTCTTCAGTTTAAAATCTAGATGTAGATACATCATGCACAGTGACAGACAGTTTGTAGTATGACATGCATACCCTCATTGGAAAATCCCATTCCTGGAGCTTAAGAAGGAAGAGATACTGTGGGCTGTGGTACTTGAGGAACGCTTCAGAGAAGAGGGACTCAAACTGGTCACTGAATAGTAGGATGAGACAACCCATTAGGTCATTCTTGGAAGTGAGCAGTATGGTGTGAAGAAAAGTGTGTAACTAGAAAAATCTATTCTGGTAGCATGGCTATAACCTGTCTTCCTGGAATAGGAGAGACAAGTTTAATGAGGGATGCAGTTGGAATGAGGCCACTCTGGAGAACTAAGTTGGCCAAATCTGCACATTTTGCAACTCAAAGTAGAGGTGCTGCTCAGTGCCACCTGAAGAGAGAACAAGTGAAGTAGAATACCAATTAAATGGAGTCAGGAATAAGATTTCCTTTGTGATCCTAATTCAAGAAAAGTATTAAGGAAATACCATGCAGCTATTAAAAGAGATCTATTTATTGGTATGGAATGACACCGATGCTTTTATATCTGGTGACATAGAGAAGACTGTAACATCATCTATGGAAAATTATTAATAGATTCCATTTTTAAAACCTGTGTGTAAACAGACACAATTTCTGTACAATTTCAGTAATGACTTTCTAAAAAACTTCACATATTCCATATTCTGGAGGAAAATACTGTGCTAAAGAAGTTTTCAGAGACAGGCATTGGGAAGATACAAAATAAGACAATGGTTTTACCTTTTAATATGCTTATATCTAGTGCTTTAAGTTGTAGGTGGACATGTTGGAAGGGATATAGTTATGTAAATGAGCATGTGTTAAAATAATTTTTTAGAGATTAAACTCATTTAGAAAAGTTGAAAAGGAATGAGACTTCAGAAAAACTAGCTTATGAACTGTTTTAAAGAAAAGTAAAATTACCAAGGTTGCTAAGTTTCTACTAGTCTCTTGATTGTATGAAGATGGCAGCCTATTGACGTAACTGTTGCATACAAAAGATCATCACATTTCCTTTTGTAGTGGACAAAGTGGGCAACAAAGTTCCAGAAGCAGATAGTGGTAATGATTGCATAACACTGTGAATGTACTTAATGCCACTGAATTGTACACCTTAAAATGGTTAAAATCGTAAGTTTTATGTTATGCATATTTTCCAAAAAATAAGAAAAATATCATACCATACCTTCAGACAAGAATTGCAGAAGTCAGGGATAGAGTTGGTTTAGAGAGGGAATACAGACTTGTGGGAAATACCATATGTCTTGTTATTTTTAGACATGGTGAAAATGTTTTGTCTGAGGATGCTGTTAATTTTTGAAATGGTAAATTTATGATTCATAAATTAGAAATCACTGCAGATGGTAACTGCAGCCATGAAATTAAAAGACTCTTGCTCCTTGGAAGAAAAGCTATGACAAACCTAGACAGTGTATTGAAAAGCAGAGACATCACTTTGCCAACAAAGGTCTGTATAGTCAAAACTATGGCTTTTCCAGTAATCATCTATGTCCATGAGAGTTGGACCATAAAGAAGGCTGAGCACCAAAGAATTGATGTTTTCAAACTGTGGTGTTGAGAGTCCCTTGACAGCAAGGAGATCAACCCTGAATAGCCATTGGAGGGAATGATACTGAAGCTGAAGTTCCAGTACTTTGGCCACCTGATGCAAAGAACTGACTCATTGGAAAGACCCTGATGTTGGGGAAGATTTAAGGTGGGAGGAGAAGGGGGTGACAGAGGATAAGATAGTTAGATGGCATCACCAACTCAATGGACATGAGTTTGAGCAAGCTCTGGGAGATGTTGAAGGACAGGGAAGCCTGGCCTTCAGTCCATGGGGTTGCAAACAGTCGGATACAACTGATCGACTGAACAACAATAAAATTAGAAATGGACATACGGAAGTTTTTTTCAACACAACAGCCACTAAGATTATGAGAATGGCTGAAGGAGATGTGTATATACAATATACACAATATAATCATAAACAAAACATGTTTAGCTGCTAATTTGAGTCTGCCTCTTTTGTGGCACCCATGGACTGTAGCCTGCCAGGCTCCTCTGTCCATGGAAGTTCCCAGGCAAGAGTACTGGAGTGGGTTGCCATTTCCTCCTTCAGGGAATCTTCCCAACTCAGGGATCGAACCTGCATCTCCTGCATTGCAGGCAGATTCTCTACCACTGAGCCACCAGGGAAGCAGACAAATATCTTAAGGGTGATAAACTGAAATCATTTATGTTTTTTATTCCACTGGACATGAATCATTTCCATATCTATTGGACAAAATACCAACAAGTTAATATAGCCTCTCAGGGTTGAAAACTTGCTCAGTCAACAGGAAGTGAATTCCAGCACTGCACTGAACTAGTATCCAGTAACTTACGTTGTCTTTACCCAATTTTTGTATACTTTTTCTGACATTGCAACACCTCCCATCCAATCTTAGGCTGCAAGGTTTTTGGAAGTGGGGCAAAATGGCAGTTTTGCCTCCATTCACAAACCAGAAGTGATAACAAGGGATAATCCTGGTGGTGGAATTTGGAGACTGAATGTTTTGCCTATCAGTATTTTCAAGACAGATCTTGCATGTGTTTTAATACATCACCTGAGTTTCATCAGTTCAGTCGCTCAGTCGTGGCCCACTCTGCGAGCCCATGGACTGCAGCACGCCAGGCTTCCCTGTCCATCACCAACTCCCGGAGCCTGCTCAAACGAGTTTTATACAGAATATTAAAAGTCAGTTGGTCTCTGAACTCCTCACGGAGTGTCCCTCGCCAGCCCTGTGTTCCTACAGAGCAAAGCCCAGTCCTAGGACGGAAGCGTTGGCTCCAAAACAGCCTTCCTTTCAGCTCTCTATCTTCACCACCACCGGGAGCTTCAGGTTGTTCTAGCAAGCAGCTCAGCCCTAGAGGCAGAAGACTGTACCTTGCTTGCTACTGCAGGGCTGCGACAGACATGCCGAATGTGCGGTCACGTGAGGCTGAGGGTGGGTCACGTGACGGCGCTCTCGCTTGAACCGGCGTAGAGGTGTGTAAGTACTGAAAAGGGTCGGGAAAGACTTGCACCTGACGCTTGACAGACGGCTGTAAGAGGAGTGGTAGGATGTAACGGTGGGTGAGTGGATGTCTCTTCATGGTGCACTAGCCTGAAAACGAATTCCTCAGGTACCCAGGATTACGGTATTTGTTGGCAGAGGACACAATCCCTCAGCCAATCGTGAGCGTCTTAGCCGGGGCCTGATTTTTGTCCAGGAGCTCAAGAGGCCGGAAGTCATCCTGAGGGAGGCGTATGCGGAGAGAAGCAGCGGCCGCTGTTGGAGGAGGTGGGTTCGAGGTCGGGAAATAGCATCGATGGGAGGTGGTGGTAGAGACTAGATGTTCGTGGAGGAAGCACCTGGGACCTTCGTGGTCCCTCCTGCTCCATCCTGCTTTCTGAACGCCCCTCACCCCACCCAGCGTTGGGCGACTGTTCCTCTGTTTGGGTAGGGGAGGTGGATACGAGGAAGCAGTTGGCTTCAGGGGTGCCTAGAAAGAGGACACGGGGAAGTGACAGTACGTGATCACCTGTGGTCTTGCATCAGGAAATGCAGGTGTGAAGATGAGAACTGTGAGCTGCACTCCCTTCCTCCCACCTCGTTGGCACTCTCTACTGTTTGTCTGTCTTTTCCAGCTGGTGAAACCAGCTCAAAATTGGGGCAGGGGGTGGGATATCCAAGGCTCCAGCTGCCTGGAGATGTAAGAGAGGAATTAACCCCAATCTGGGCAGCTCTGGGGAAGGGGAGACAACAGACTCAGGAGGAGGGAATCTGTTTGTTTGGGGCCCTTCACATAGGAGTTCTCTTTGGGATACTGCCAAGCTTCTCAATTCCCAAGGTGATTCCTGGATCTGTGCCCCAGGTAGCAGCTCCTTCCCATCTAGGAACTCAAAAGCTGCTACTCCTTGGAGGCTCCCTCCTGCTGCCTGCCATGCTGGGCCTCTTAATAGGGTTTTTCTGGGAACCACCTATGACAACTGCTTTATGGGTGGTCTCGTGTGTGTCTGCTCTGCTGACACTTTGCTATCTTTGTCTTTTGCTTTCTGCCCACTTCTTCAGGCATGTTTCTTTGGTCTTACACTAGGTGTAAGGTCCTTGGTGTATCCTTAGTGCATCCTTACACTAGGTGTAAGGTCCTTGGTCTTACACTAGGTGTAGGTCCTTGGTATATCCTTATCCTCTTTCTAACTAAATATCCCCGCTCCACCTACCCACTCCCTCCCACCCCCATGTACACTAGATACCAGGGCAGTTTAAGAAATTGCCACTAGGAAATAATGAATTTTCCTAAGCCCACTCATATCCTTATTTTCATACTCAGTATAGAGTTGAAACTATGCAGTAATTCTACTTCAGGCCCTCCTGTTTACATTTAAAAGCTGGAATAGAGCAGTGGGCATGTGGGTAAAATTACAGAGATTGAGGCCTTTGGGCTGCCTCCTCCTCTTTTACCCCCTGCCTCTTTTGTTGTTTTCCTCTTCCCTCCATTCTCCAGAATTCTGTTAATATATGTATTGGGACCAACATTTAAGTTGTGTCCTTTCCCCGCAAACTTTGTTGTTTTGTCTGTGTTGTTTTAGAGTTTGACAAAACACCTCAAACATTAAGTGGTATGTGAAAGTAGCTCAGTTGTGTCTGATTCTTTGTGACTCCATGGACTATATATTACATGGAATTCTCCAGGCCAGAATACTGGAGTGGATAGCCTTTCCCTTCTCCAGGGGATGTCCCAAACCCAGGGATCGAACCCAGGTCTCCTGCATTGGGAGGGCAGATTCTTTACCAGCTGAGCCATAAGGGAAGCCCAAGAATACTGAAGTGGGTAGCCTACACCTTCTCCAGAGGATCTTCCTGACCTGGGAATTGAACCGGGGTCTCCTGCATTGCAGGCGGATTCTTTACCAACTGAGCTATCAGGGAAGCCCTTAAGTGGTATAAGAGAGAGTACATCTGACCTTTGTCTCTGGATCCTTGCACAGTGCCAGGAATTTCTTGAACCTTGGGAGGATCTTTGTTATGCTTACGAATGGACCATGGTTGGTCCCTACTTAGCTTCAGGATGTGAGAATGTGGGCTGGTCACTATAAAGGGACAACCACATATTTAGAGTTGGAACTTTAGGCCAGCAGGAACTCCTGAGTGGGAAGGACACTAGATTTGGGGTTCAATCATGTGACCAGTAATTTACTCAATCATGCCTATGTAATGAAACCCCAGTGAAAACTCTTTCTGGTTGGTAACCACACTGATTTCCAGGGAGGATGATGTTGCCCTGAATGCATGAAAAGAGGGCATGGAATTTGTCTGTATGTCTGAGATGTGTCCATACCTTGTTCTATGTGTATCCTTTCTGGTAAAACTACAACTCTACATGTAGCACTTTTAGTGAGTTCTTTAAGTTGTTCTAGTAAATTATCAAACCTGAGGGGGCCATTGTTGTTCAGTCACTTGTTCAGTCATTTGTGTCCGACTCTTGGCAGCCCCATGGACTGTAGCACTCCAGGCTTCCCTGTCCTTCACTATTTCCCAGAATTTGCTCAGATTCATGTCCATTGAGTCAGTGATGCCATCCAACCATCTCATCCTCTGTTACTTCCTTCTCCTCCTGCCCTCAATCTTTCCTAGCATCAGGGTCTTTTCCAGTGACTCGGCTCTTCATTTCAGGTGGCAAAGGTATTGGAGCTTCGGCCTCAGCATCAGTCCTTCCAATGAATATTCAGGGTTGATTTCCTTTAGGATTGACTGGTTTGATCTCGTTGCTGTCCAAGAGACTCTCAAGAGTCTTCTCCAGCACCACAATTTGAAAGCATTGGCAGTCAGCCTTCTTTATGGTCCAACTCACATCCATACTGACTACTGGAAAAACCATAGCTTTGACTATATGAACCTTTGTTGGCAAAGTCTGCTCTTTGATATGCTGTCTGGGTTTGTCATAGCTTTCTTTTGAAGAAGCAAGTGTCTTTTAATTTCCTGGCTGCAGTCAACATCCGCAGTAATTTTCAGCCCGGGAAAATAAAATCTGTCACTGCTTCCACTTTCCCCCTATTTGCCATGAAGTAATTAATGGGACCAGATGTCATGACCTTATTTTTTGAATTTTAATCTAGCTTTTTCACTCTTCTTTTTCACCCTTATCTGGAGGCTCTTTAGTTCTTCTTCACTTTCTGCCATTAGAGTGGTTATCATGTGCATAACTGAGGTTGTTAATATTTCTCCTGGAAATCTTGATTCTAGCTTGTGATTCCTCCTGCTTAGCATTTCACATTATCTACTCTGCATAGGCGTTAAATAAGCAGGGTGACAATATACAGCCTTGGTGTCCTCCTTTCCCAATTTTCAACCAGTTCATTGCCATGTCTGGTTCTAACTGTTGCTTCTTGTCCTGCATACAGGTTTCTCAGGAGGCAGGTAAAGTGGTCTGGTATTCCTATTTCTTTAAGAATTTTCCACAGTTTGTTGTGATCCACACAAGACTTTAGCATATACCAATGAAGCAGAAGTAGATGTTTTTCTGGACTTCCCTTGCTTTTTCTGTCAGATGTTGGCAATTTGATCTCTGGTTCCTCTGCCTTTTCTAAATCCACGTTGTACATCTGGCCATTCTCGTTTCATGTACCTTTGAAGTCTAGCTTGAAGGATTTTAGGTCTTCCCTGGTGGCTCAGTAAGTAAAGGATCTGTCTGCAATGCAGGTGACCCAGGTTCAATCCCTGGGTTGGAAAGATCCCCTGGAGAAGGAAATGGCAATCCACTCCAGTGTTCTTTCCTGGAGAATTACATGGACAGAGGAGCCTGGTCGGCTACAGTCTATGGGATCACAAAGAGTTGAACACAACTGAGTGACTAGCACTTTCAGTTTTCTTTCACTTTGAAGGATTTTGAGCATTACCTTGCTAGCATGTGAAATGAATGCAATTGTATGGTAGTCTGAACATTCTTTGGTATTGCCCTTCTTTGGGACTGGAGTGAAAACTGACCTTTCCCAGTCCCGTGTCAATGGCTAAGTTCTCCAAATTTGCCGGCAAATTGAGTGCAGCATTTTAACAGCATCCTATTTTAGGATTTGAAATAGCTCAGCTGGAATTCCATCATCTCCGCTAGCTTTGTTCATAGCAATGCTTCCTAAGGCTCACTTGACTTCACACTCCAGGATGTCTGACTCTAGGTGAGTGACCACATCATTGTGGTTATGTGGGTCATTAAGACCTTTTTGAGGGGGTCATGGGAACCCTTGAATTTATTACTGGTCAGTCAAAAGTGTGGGTGGTACTCCAGGACTTGTAACTGGCATCTGATCTCAAACGGGGACAGTATTATTGGAGACTGCACTCTTAAACCTGTGGAGTCTGCCTCTAACTCAGGGTAGTTGGTGTCAAAGAACTGATGATGTAAAAAAAAAGTGTCACACACTCCTATTTTTAGCAGCCATCTCTCGATTCATGTCTATAAACCGACACTGATCCTATGCATCATGCAGAAACAAGTTAAATTGGGTGAAAAAAGCAGCCTATGTTTTTGTGGCATACATCTACAATTTAGATGATTTTTAAAGTTCTTTTTCTAATTTTTTTTCTTATCAAAACTTCTTCAGCCTTTATTTTCTGTTAGGGAAACTTCACACGGTGCATACGGTGCATTTGTATTTGGAAAACTTCACAGGGCGGTTCAGCCCTAAGTCCTACCTCTAAGTCCCACATGCATCCCAGTGCAGATACTTAACTAACTCACGCCTGTGGATTTTTTCAATCTCAGTCAAAGGACAGGGAAGTGTGAGGTGTGGAGGTGTGTGTGTTTATCCATGAAGATGATTATCTCTGTTCTGATCACTCCTTGGGTAGCACTTATAAGGGCTAGATCATCCCTCAGTTTTTTTACTGGGAGTGTAGTTGAAGTAAATACTTCAACACATATGTGGCCCTTTTGTTTCTACCTCCTTTCTGGATAAATATTATGGGTTATCTCATGTAATAAATATCAGGACCCATTCAGATGTCACTTGACCTACAGCGTTGCTGCCTAGGCATAAAATTAGAGTGGAATTGTCATCTGTCCTATCATGAATGGAAGATATAGGACAGATGACAATCTATCACAACTGATCCTCTGCTCTACCCCGTTTCAAAAACGCAACCTTCAGTGGGATCTCATCTAGAAAATTCTACCAGGCTCCCAATGGAGGGTTTCAAGGCCCTGTGCAATTCTCCCATACAGTTCTACCTTTCCATCTCCATTTCCAACACATTCTTCCAAGTCTGGGCTAGAACTAGAATGAAATAAAGACATAATTTAA